ACCAGCAAGATGTAAAGGATGGGAAAGTCAAACCCAACCATGCAGGTATTTACACTATCATTTCTAATAACTCACCCCATTCGAAATCTTGGGTCCTTGATACAGGTTGCGGAATTCATATTTGTGTGACTTGCAGGGACTAGGAAGAAGTGAGAATGTGGAGCAAGGAAGAATAAACTTAATCATGGGGAATAGGAAAGTTACACCTGTCACCAAGATTGGAGTTTATACTTTATCGCTAAGTAGTGGGTTAAATTTAGATTTGAATAAATGTTGTTATTCGCCAGAAATGGCAAGAAATATTATTTCCTTTCATGCATTGTACAAACAAGGTTTCACCTTTTCGTTTGATAATGAAGTTGGTTCGATTAATGCTTTCTTTAATAATGTACTTTATTTTAAAGCATTACCTTGTGATGGTGTGTATGAAGCTGTATCTATTGTAGATAACTTAGGAAATAATGTTTTGTGTATTGATTCTACTAATAATAATAACTTGGATAAAGCATCGTTATGGCATTGTCGTCTTGGACATATAAGCAAGAAACGCATAGGCCAACTCCAAAAGGATGGAGTCTTGGAGTCGTTTGACCTAAAGTCAAATGATAGTTGCGAATCATGCTTACTTGGAAAAATGACAAAGTCACCCTTCACAGGCTCATGTGAAAGGGGTGAAGGTTTGTTGGACCTTATACACACGGATGTGTGTGGACCATTCAAACATGCCACAAGATGCTAATCGTTATTATTTGACTTTTACCGATGATTACAGTAGATATGGATATGTCTACTTAATCAAGCATAAGTCAGAGACTTTCGAGAAGTTTAAGGAATTTAAACAGGAAGTCGAGAATCAATTGGGCAGGAACATTAAGATGCTTCGATCCGATCGAGGTGGTGAGTATCTTAGTTCAGAGTTCCTCGACTATCTAAAGGAATGTGGGATTGTCTCACAATTGACACCTCCCAGGACACCGCAGTTGAATGGTGTGGCTGAGAGGCGTAATCGAACCTTGTTGGACATGGTTCGTTCCATGATGAGTCGAGCTTCGCTACCAATCTCATTCTGGGGGTATGCCTTAGAGACTGCCGCCCATATCCTTAATCTAGTCCCTACAAAGAAAGTTGCCAAAACTCCTCACGAGATGTGGACTGGTAAAGTACCTAAACTAGACCACATCAAGATTTGGGGCTGCGAGGCTTTCGTGAGACGCGAGACTCATGATAAGCTCGAACCCCGAAGCGAGAGGTGTATTTTCATCGGCTACCCACAACAATCCTTTGGTTACCTCTTCTACAGACCTAGTGACAATGTGGTCTTTGTAGCAAGAAGAGGAGTCTTTCGAGAAAGAGAGTTTATAAGCCAAGGAGACAGTGGGAGGCAAGTTGATCTTGAAGAAATTCAAGAGTCAAGTGGTGAAGGAACTTCAAACTCTAGCCCTCAACTTGAGGAGGAAACTCCTGTTGAGCCAATTGACGAATCTGTACCTCTGAGGCGTTCCACGAGAGTTAGGAGTGCACCTGAGCATTACTATGGATTCCATATTACTGCAGAAGGTGAGACACTTATTAGTGATGAGACACTAGTAAGTCAAGATGACCCTAACAGCTACGAGGAAGCCATGGCAGGCCCCGAGTCTGCTAAATGGAAAGAGGCTATGGATAGCGAGATACAATCCATGTATGACAATCAAGTTTGGAACTTGGTTGAGAATGTACCAGGTCGAAAGACTGTAGGGTGCAAATGGGTCTTCAAAAGAAGACCGACATGGATGGTAAAGTACACACTTATAAGGCTAGACTGGTTGCAAAGGGCTTCTCTCAAATTCCTGGAGTGGACTATGATGAGACCTTTTCTCCGGTAGCCAAGATTAAGTCTATTCGGGTTCTGTTAGCCATAGCCGCATTTCATGACTATGAAATTTGGCAAATGGATGTCAAAACCGCTTTCCTTAATGGAAAGTTGGCTGAAGATGTTTACATGAGTCAGCCAGAGGGTTTTGTCAGTAACGAGTACCCTAATAGAGTGTGTAAGCTTGAGAAATCCATTTATGGATTAAAGCAAGCACCTCGCAGATGGAATCTTTGCTTTGATGAAAAGGTCAAGGAATTTGGCTTTTCTAGGAGTGAAGATGAATCTTGTGTATATGTCAAGGCTAGTGGGAGTATAGTTAGCTTTTTGGTATTGTATGTGGATGACATACTACTCATAGGAAACGACATTCCAACCTTGCAGGAAGTAAAGTCCTGGCTTGGAAAGTGTTTCGCTATGAAGGACCTTGGTGAAGCTGCCTATATTTTGGGGATAAGAATCTTGAGAGATCGGAGTAAAAGACTAATTGGACTTAGTCAAAGTACCTACTTGGAGAAGATTCTGAAGAGATTCAGAATGCAAAACTCCAAGAAAGGAGAGTTGCCCATCCAGAGTAGCGCCAAGCTGAGTAAGACACAAAGCCCTAGCACTGAGGCTGAGATAGCAGAAATGAGTCGATTACCTTATGCTTCGGCTGTAGGTTCGATCATGTATGCTATGACGTGTACTCGACCTGATGTAGCCTTTGCCTTGAGCATGGTTAGCAGGTTTCAGGGGAACCCTGGCAAGGCACACTGGATTGCGGTAAAGAATATTCTCAAGTACCTACGAAGGACTAAGGACTGGGTCCTTACCCTCGGTGGGAGTGATGACTTGAGAGTTGTAGGGTATAGTGATGCTAGCTTCCAGACTGATAGGGATAACTTCCGCTCTCAGTCGGGCTGGGTCTTTACCCTAAATGGAGGAGCAATTTCTTGGAAGAGTTCCAAGCAAGAGACAGTGGCAGATTCTACTTGTGAATCAGAGTATATTGCAGCTAGCGAAGCGGCAAAGGAGGCGTTATGGCTGAGGAACTTCATTGGAGACCTTGGAGTTGTACCAGCTATTAAAGAGCCGATGGAAATTTTCTGTGATAGTGAAAGTGCTGTTGCCTTAGCCAAGGAACCAAGGGATCACGGGAGATCCAGACACATCGACAGAAAATACCATTTCATCAGACATCGGATCGAAGAAGGACTCCTCGTGGCAAAGAGGGTATCATCAGATGAGAATCCGGCAGATCCCCTCACGAAGGGACTGACTCGGGTTAAGCATCTCCAGCATGCTCGGAGCATAGGGCTGAAGGATGATATTAGATTTAGTAGTTAGATAATCTCGAAATTTGTAAAGTGTAATTGACATTTGATGATGAATAAAAGTGTTTTATTTATGAGTAAAGTGTTGCTATCTCTTGTCGATCGTTTACTATATTTCTTTTGCATGTTTTGACTTCCAGAATAATTTTGTTTGGTATAACATATTATTCAAACCTCCACAGTCGGTCATATGTCGGAAGTAGGTATGAATCAAGACTGTCATGTTTGGTTGTAGAGGTCTGGGACAAGGCTACAACAATCATGAGTGCTCATAAGTTCTGAGCATTGGACTCAACCCACGCTCACTGGAATCACTTCATGGAATTCTATCTCGAGTGATCGTGAGACGGTAATATCATATAAGTCTTTAAACCTAGAGATATGATTTGTTACTTACGAGTTGGTTATGCATTGATTGTACGAAAAACGCATTGGTAACTCGATGTTATAAAATCGTGCTCTTATGTGTAATTCAATGAGTAGTAGAACAAACATATGAGTCGAAGTTTATCTGTTCCTTCTTGGATTAGAAGCTGATATCTGGGCCCCTCGATGATTTTGTTTTGACCTATGTACCGGGCCCGGTCAGAACTAGATTGATGTGTTCAATAAAGTTCTTTGTCAAACAAATCGGAAATCGGGAAACAAATGTTGGACAATAAGTAAGACATTGTTCCATGTATTTGTCCGACTGATATCTAGAACAGAGGATTATATGATCACTTATCTTAAATGGCGTACCATCATCTTCTCAAGTTTCGAGAAACCTTGTAAAGAGCTACGATTGCCGATCGGTTCCTGAAGTCATACTTGCAGTAATAGTTACTAGACTTATCCAAGTGGGAGACTGTTGGATAAGGTGTCTAAGTCCATAACTATTTCTGGTATGTACTTGACCCGACCCGGCATGGTCCATTTGGGTTGCATGGCACCATGCAATTGGATAAACTAAATGAGAGAAATAACGCTTGGAGATTATTAATATATTATAAGTTCTAATATATTAATAATATTATTTGATTAGTTTGATCAAGAATTAATTTAGAATTAATTAAGTGATCAAAAGATAACTAATTAAATATATGGGTTGATTAAGTAAATCATCCATATCTTGTATAGTGGGCTAAAAGGCTCCATGGATCATCAAGTTGGGTTCCACCCATAGGATGCTCCATGGATGCTCCATGGGAGTTACAAACCCATGGGTCATGGAAATGAAGAGTCATGACACATTAGGGTTTAACCCTAGATGTGTCAACACTATATAAGAAGCATAATCTCCACCAAAATCGGTTGCAACAAAGAAATAGAGGGCTTGGCCGATTTGGAGAAGTGAGTATTCTCTCATAAGTTCTTCCAAGAGTATTTGGTGTTGTGTGAAGCATTTGAGGCATCACCACTTGAGGTGCTAGGCTCACAAGGATTCAAGGAACACAAGCAACAACAAGGTAAGTTATTCTATCTATACTTTATGTTAAAATTGTTCCCCATGTATGCTAGATAGGATATAACCTTGGAATTCAACTTTGCATGACAAATTAGACAAACATAGATCCAAGGTTATTAGGGTTGCATGTACACTTAGGAAGTGTTAGTATGCTCAAAACCCATCAGCTTAAACTCAAGTTTCTATTAGAAACTTGTGTTTTCATAATCTACAGGCAAGTTGTTTACACCTTCATACCATTTGAGGCTGATTGTTGTATGATATTAACCAATAGTTTATTAATTCTTGATTTTAAGGGTTATTTTTTGACTAATGGTGCCACGAGGAGCCCGTGGTGGTGGTCGTAGTGGTAGTCACATTGGTGGTCGTGATGCTGGAGATAGAAATGCATCTCAATCACACAATAATGCAGAAAGTCAACCTTCTTATTCTTCAGTTAGAGGATCAAACATCTTGGAACAACTTCCAAGTAACCCCATCAAAAAGGAAGTTCATTGAAGTCGATTCTGAAAAGGAGTACTAATGTTAATTTTACAATTGTTTATGAAAATGAATTTACTTGTTAATGATAATACTAATGCTAATTTTTTAATTATTTATTTTTTGCAAGATTTGCGGATCAGATTTCAGTGATCAGAGCCATCGCATGTATACTGAAGACGATGTTTGACAACCCATGGACCTCATGGAAGAAGGTTGACAAAGAACATCGTGATGCAATGTGGGAACACTTTAAGGTTTGTACTTATTATTTTTATGATTTATCAAAAGTAAAACTTGGTGTAAATGGAAAAGATAACTGTATGCGTGATCTACATGTAGGGTTTGTATGTCTGGCCCGAAGCGACTAATGTTCTTGCTCGCATGGTATGGGAAGACTATATGAAGAAACGATTTCCTGACATAATGCGAAGAACACGTGAAGAATCTTTAAAACTTGCCAAAGCTGCAAATGTGAATGCCTCACTAGAAGGTGATTTAAATTTGCTAAAGGACTATCACCCAAATTGGATAAAAAAGGAGTATTGGGAAAAATGATCAATGAAGTGTGGACCACATCCAAATGGAAACGTTTATCACAATCAGGGGAAAATAACATAAATAAATTAGAAGATGGCTCTATTTCCAAACATACAGGGGGTTCTATATATATTCATCAACATAAGAAAAGAATGGTAAGATGTTTGCATCTCACCTTAGTTTCCACTTAGACTATTGAGTGTTTGTTTTGTTTTTTAATGTATTACTAATGGATTTTGTAGCAAGCAACACTTAAACGCCCTCCTACAGGAGTTGAACTTTATGCAAGGTTGCACACTAAACGGTCTACTCAAGAGTACATTACACCAAAGGCAGCTAAAGTTAAGGTATTTTCAATTCTTTTTTAGGAAACAAAACTTCCTACTACTCGGGTTAATGACTTCGTTAAAGCAACAAATTGACAGAAAACAAATCTTTCGTGAGTAATAATCAACTTACAAAAGAAAAGAAACAAATTATTATCTCTAAATGTTTTATCCTCTGCCTAGTTGTAATTAAGTATTTTGTAAGTAGTAATCAACTTTATAAAAGGTTTGAGTATTAATTAATAGGAGGCTTATGAAGTGGTTCATTCCATTCCTTAATTATGAATGTAATGGAATGGAATGAACCATTCTATTCCTTATTTCATGTTTCTGTTGTTTCATATTTTTTTGCTATAATAGGAGGCTTATGAAAGTGCTATGGTGGCTAAGTTTGGTGATGATACTAGTTGCCACCCCCTCTTGGATAATGAAACATGGTGTGATGTTTCCGGAGGAGTCAAGAAAGGAAGAATATATGGATTCGGATCTGTGTCTGATCCAGCGAGCTTTTTGGAAGGAACATCTAGTACAATAACATCCCAAGAGGTACTTTATAAAAATTTCCTATCATATCATTGTACTTACAAAGTTTCCTATCATGGCATTGTACTTACAAAGTTTCCTATCATGGTATTGTACTTACAAAGTTTCCTATCATGGCATTGTACTTACAAAGTTTCCTATCATGGCATTGTACTTACAAAGTTTCCTATCATGGCATTGTACTTACAAAGTTTCCTATCATGGTATTGTACTTACAAAGTTTCTTATCATGGCATTGTACTTACAAAGTCTCCTATCATGGCATTGTACTTTAGGTTGTCTATGAACGTGTACGAAACGAGATGCGAGGGGAAATGGATGCTAAAGCTGCAGAAATGGAAGCTAAACATCAACAAATGCGTGAGGAAATGGATGCGAAAGCTGCATCAATAGATGTCAAACAACAACAAATTGATGCAAAATATGAAGCAATGGAGAAGATGTATGCAGCCTTGCAAAATATGATGAGAAATTGAAAATTAGAGGTAATATGATGTTAACCATTAGTATTTGATGTTTTTGAATGGCTTGTTAACCTTTTGTATTTGATACTTTTGATTGTTTTGAATAATGTTTTATAGGAATGTGAACCGAAGATGATTGGATGGACATGAAATGAAGAGAGCATCTAAAATGTTATTTTGAAATTATGTTTTGTGAAAACTCATTTCCCGATGCATACTTTGGATTTCTTGGTGCTAAAATGTTATTTTGAAGTTAAACCTTTAGGAGTTTGATGTTATATGGATAGTTTTGGTTTTGGATGTTTTTTAAATGATACTTTGGTAAACTTTGATAGTTTTGGTATTGTAATGTTTGGTTGCATTGTTATTTGATGTTTTTTAGTATAAAAATTTGTTGATTGTAGTATTTTTTTTTCTTTTAGAATCATAATAAAAAAAATGATATTACAAGTTCGCGTCGGATTGGTGAGAATAAAAAAAGTATTTTAATGCATCAATTTTGCGAGGGATTAGCTACGGAAAAAATATCATGTCTAAAGTTGGCGACGGATCAGCGACGGAACAAAAAAAAATTAATGTATAAATTTTGCAAGGGATTAGCTATGGAAAAAAACCATGTCTAAAGTTTGCGACAGATTAGTGACGAAAAAAAAAAAGAAATCAATATATAAATTTTGCAAGGGATTTGCTACGGAAAAAAACTGATCACTGAAATTTTGCGACAGAAAAGCGACATAATGACTTTATCAAATTTTGTCGCTAATGCCCTGAGTAAATGTGTTGAGTGACATTTAGCGACGGATATTCTGTCGCTAAATTTGTCGCAAGGAAAAACCTCTCCGTCGCTAAAACCCTCGCTGAGAAATTAGCCATTTATTAATTACCTATGGAGTGAGTCCGTCGCTGATCCATCGCAAACAACATTTAGCGACGGAATAGCGACGGATACTTCCGTCTCTAAAACCCACGTTTCTAGTAGTGATATATATATATATATATATATATATATATATATATATATATATATATATATATATATATATATATATATATATATATATATATATATATATAGAGAGAGAGAGAGAGAGAGAGAGAGAGAGAGAGAGAGAGAGAGAGAGAGAGAGAGAGAGAGAGAGAGAGAGAGAGAGAGAGAGAGAGAGAGAGAGAGAGAGAGAGAGATTATGATGATGCACTACATGTATTTGGAAGCAAAAGACAAACTGATTTGAATGAGTAAAAGAAGAAGAATGGTTTACAGTGCTAGCCTAAATCCAAATCCATATTTATGACAACATTAAGCAAAAGATTCTAAAGGAAAGGATTGCCATTGTCTTACGACTCAAATGGGAATTTGTATGCATCGAAAGGATCTTTCAAGTAAATTACATTTAAAATGGAAGTTGTTTCTATACAAGATTCGAAATGGATGAAACTTAAACTTACTCAACCATATTTTTTTATTTCTGCTAAATTATTTTAGACTTGACAACGATGAAAGTTAAGTATGAGAAAGAAGATTTGGGTTTGATCCTGTTATGTTTCATTGTCCAGTTATAATCTACTTGCGGTTATACCATAATTTACAATCTTGATACCGTCACTCTCAAATAATTTTATCAATCCTTGTATACGAAGGGAAAAAATATGTTGTGTATTGATGGCTTAATTGTTTCACAAGTTGAGGGTTATCCTTTCATGGCAAAAAAAAAAAAAAATAAAAAAAAAAATAATGGTTCCTATCAACATCTAAAGACAAGACTAGTGCCCGACAGGTAAATATTGCTAGAAAGATGGGAATAGGATATCTGAATGCTACAAACTAAATAATAATAATAATAATAATAATAATAATAATAATAATAATAACTCAAACAAATCAAAGGTTAAAGAAGATGATAGTTTTGCAAACTATGCACATGACAATAGTTTTGAAATGAGGTTCTTAGTTGTTGTCATGTGTGTCGAAATTATTAGCGAATGGGTTATTTATTCCACTTGTACGCACCATATGTGTCTATATAAAGATTGGTTTAATCGGTTTTAGTTAATGGTTTTGATGACTCGCAATACAACATTAAAGTTATTGTGCTTATCCATATCGACCATCTATCAATACTCAATAGTGAACATCTTGATTTTTAATTTTGAAAAAAGTGGTTCATAAGTTTTCATATTTGTAGCGATTCAGATTTTTGCCTCTCAACTTTGTAATATTAACAATTTGGTCACTTAAATTATTAACAGTGGTGTAAGGATAAAAATGGAAATGATACGTGTCGTTCCCACATCTCATCTTTCCCACCGCCTCCTTATCCAATATCTTCCGTGTTGAGGTTCTTGATTCTTCTGATTTTTCTGTTTCATTCTTTTATCGCTCTTCTCTCAAGTGTACATTATTATAATACTAGACGATGTTTGTTACATTCCAAATATTAAGATTTTTTTTTTATCTTTTTAATATCTTGGGTGACAAGGGATATAAATATTTGTATGTAGACAAGGTTTAAGAATATAATAAAAAGCTCCTTAATCATTATAAAGGTTTATCTAAGATAATGTAAGCTCTCTGCTATGTTCAAGTTAATACAATCATAGGTTATGCCCTACATACAAGTAAGATGATCATTTTTCTCGTTAATCGAGTAAACATTGTCGAGTAGGTCATATGAGTGAACTCAATGATCATATAGGTTATGCCCTACATACAAGTAAGATGATCATTGTCGAGTAGGTCATATGAGTGAACTCAATTTTACTTCATTGAAAAAATGTAGTCTTCTTCAAGCTTATAGAAAAGTGAAACTTGAATTTTATATTTGAAAAACAATGGTTTGTTCAACAATTTAGTTCACACAACCACAAACATCCTCAAATATCTTCACTCAAATTAATTTATAAGGGGCGTATAGCAAAAAATTCCTTAGAGGTTGATAAATATTAAAGAAAGGGTTTCTTTTATTTTTAAAACACAAATTAGATCTATTCCCTCCAAGGTTTTAATTAACGTTAGACGTCGACTTAGCAAGAATGTCAAGTCTCAAGTTTTTATAAGCTGTGGCGAGCCATATAGTTTCTACTATTATTCATTTTTATATACATATATTTCTTAAGGTGGCATTTGTTTTGAAGCTTGGCGGCAAGTACAAGCCTTGGAGCCATGACGAGTTTTTTAGAACCTTAATCCCTCCCTTCGAATAATGGATGACTATGATTGAAAGGAAACCTACAAGAAACTAAAGAAGACTTGAATATACAACGGAATGGAATTTTGTTCTAAATAATTAAAACCATATTTCAAGTCTAGAGGAATTTTAAGACATCACATTGTTCCAAACAATCATTAACTAAATGGTGTATCAGAGAGTATAAAATGAAACTTTTGTTTTCAAAACTTACGGTATTACAAGTTGGTATCAGAGCCTTGGTTTGAGGGATTCAGATGTATTATCGAGTAAGTCTGGACTCAAATTGAGGATTTGAGAAAAAAATTCTAACAAGAAATGATTTTTCTAAAATGAGTAAGAGTTTTAAAGAGAAAACGAGATAAAGAAGTGTGTACAATCTGCCAGAGCCCGAACGGTGGTTTCTTAAAATACCATTACTTGTTTATATTATGAGATATGAGAGTTCCACACTAGAGGATAGGCTAGGTACTTCAGAAATTAGAGCTAGAGTTGCCTGATTCATGATGCCTTAGGCTAGGGTATGCTATTGATTGATCTTATATGCTATTTGCTCTGTATGTACTGAGTACGGAGAAACATATCAGGAGTCTTTTAGAGAGAGTTTTGAGTAATCTAGGAGATATACCTAGATGAGCATTGAGGAATCTACGAGAGAGTAGTTGATATTCGTGAGGGATAGAGTACCGTGAATTAGGATCCTAGGAGGAGGACTTGGGATAACTACAGGTTTGTGTGGAAGGTAGTATTGGACCCGTACTACTGAAAGCACTGGATCTATATGCGACCCAAGTAAGAATTTTAGGATGCTAACGAGTGTGTAGGGGTGGGTAACCGAGAGTGTGTGTGTATGTGTGTATGTATTGAGCTAGTATCTGATGATTTTGTGTTTATGTTTCCGAGACACCATGGTGCTTACCCGCAACAACCCCGGGAGCAGTGATACCAGTGACGAGGAGATCCGTAGGATCATTCATGAGGAAGTGGCTGCAGCTATCAGAGAGGTCATACCAAAGATGTTCGGGTCTATTAAGACCACACTTATTGAGACTTTTGATGAGCGATACACTGTTGCACAAAGGTTATTGTTGTTGCAGCCACCTCAACTCAAGCTGCTGCAAGGCCTCAGGGGAGTGATAAAGGCTAATCCTTGTCGAGTTCTCCTACAATAATAGTTATCACACGAGCATAAAGGCTGCTCCATTTCAATCCCTCTATGGCCGAAAGTGCAAATCCCCTCTGTGTTGGGCTGAGGTGGGTGACACTCAGTTAGCTAAAGGATGTATTCCTGACAGCATTCTCACAAGTCCGGAGATCATTCGGGAAATGACAGCGAATATCGTTAAAATTTGTGAACGATTGAAACCCTCTATAGACAGATAGAAAAGCTACACAGACAAGAGAAGGAAACATTTGGAATTCTAGGTTGGTGACCGTGTTCTATTGAAGGTATCACCCTGGAAGGGCTTGATACGCTTCGGAAAACGTGGAATGCTAAATCCAAGATACGTAGGGCCTTTCGAGATTATCGCTAGAATCGGCCCTGTAGCTTACAAACTCAAACTACCTCGCGAACTTAGTAACATGCATTCTACTTTCCACGTCTCGAACATGAAAAAGTGTCTGTCGGACGAGACTCTTGTAATCCCACTCGACAAGATCGAGATCAACGAGAGCCTCAACTTCATGGAAGAACTAGTAGAGATCATGGACCGAGAGTTTAAGCAAACAAAGCAAGCCATATCCCGATAGTGAAGGTTCGCTGGAATGCCAAGCGAGGACCTAAATTCACTTGGGAGCGTGAGGATCAAATGAAATTGAAATATCCTCATCTTTTTACTTAGTTATTTGTAGTTACTTAATTTCTTAAAATCTAATTTCGGTAAGAAATTCTCTCTAACCGGGGGATGACGTGACAACCCGAAATTTCAATCTTATACAACCATTCAATTCAATCAAAGTCAGACTCGTTTTTGCTATCTTTTATCATTGATAAAGGTCTGTTTGGGTGTTTTAAGCTTAGTGACTTCAAGAAGGAATGTTAGGAAGTGTATTCTAGAATGCAGTGTGCAACATACAAGCTGGAAAACTCCATTCATAATGAGTTTACGGCCGTAAACTAGAGTTTACGATCGTAAACACCTCCTTGGCCATAAAATCATGTCTATACATGAGTTTTAACTTCATTTCTAGTCATTTCTTAAACTTCCAAGCCTAGT